CAATAATATAAAATTGAATTGAAGACATCCTTATCTATTTTGCCTCGCAGTGTTCATGTGTCAGCTGAATGTATTAATAAGGGGGAAAAACTAATTTTTGATCAAAACAAGATGATTAAAATCCTCATCAAAAATATCTGAGACTAGACAAGTAAACAGGTTCGAAAATTAAAGTGAAATCTTGCTTCCAGTTAAGCATTAAAGCGACATTATTGTGTAAATCAACAAACACATCCCCTCAAATCGGATAAATATAAGGTATACTCATAATAATCTATGTATGGAAGCAATGCTGAAACACAATTCAATTATGCAACAATTTAAAGACAATGACTAATTAAAATCCAAATCTTATAGCGAAATTTATAAAGCCAATATGAGTAACAATAGGTTACAAATAAAAGTATTTGTAGGCTTAATTTTTTATACCGATTTTCATTAGCATAATACTTGAAGATGTGAGATAATCGACAATATGCGATAAAATATGTAAAGGATCACGTCTGATTTAAGTAAAATATTAATGAAATGGACGACAAAAATTTAGTAAATGAAGATCAAAAATTTAGGAGCAATGTGAAATAAATAGCACCAATAAAACAGGCAAAAGATGATAAAGCGTTTAGCGAAGCCAATATCCTGTAACGTTAAAAAAGGCTACAAAATGCTTGATTATTTTGTAATTAAGATTACTTACCGATTGCATTAGTGTGGTTGTCTCCATTCGTATGAATAGATATAACAGTTCCACTCAGATGTTTTTGACCAGGAATAAGTTTGTTGGTCGTAGCATTGTGAACCACAGTATTTCCAATAACAGCAGGGTTTCCCGCATTACCACCACTTATCTGAGCGTTAGAATTACTTAAAGCGGCGTTTATCAAGACAACGGAGTTGGAAAGATTGGAATTAGGAGGTTGCGGAGCAGGATTTGGGCCAGTTTGTGGAAGATGATGATGCTGATGACCAACACCTCCAGCGTTGGCGCTTGCTTTCGGATGATGGTTAGGATGGATTGAAGGCGAGGCATTTACAGTGAGGGGAATCGATGACACAGGAAGGATATTTGAAATTGATTGCGGAGGAAAGGAGCCCGGATATTGGGTCTGCGAAGGGGACTGCTGGATATTGGGTGGCGAAGAGGATAACTTGACCCTCTGATCAGCGCTGTTTACAGATAGGCTGTTTGCATTTACCAGATAACCATCTGATGGATTCGTAATCGTGCTATTGATTGAAACAGCCTGAGAAGTCGCAATGGCTCCAGAGGGAAAGGAAGATGCACGGGAAAAAGTAGATCCACTATTGGTCGAATTTATACTACTGCCACAACCGCCTCCAGTTTGAATACCTGAAGGATTATTGCAGCTAGCGTTGTGTGAATTGGTGGTTAGAGGCAAAGAGTTAACTTGGTGATGCTGCTGTTTTAAAGAATTTTTTCGCTTTTCTATTACGTCCGGCACAACTGCATCGATCAAGGATAATGACTCCACAACTCGTTCACTTCCGTCCTATAAATATTCAAAGTTGAATAGGAAGGTTAATTAGGCGATGTAATCACAA